AGTAGTAGGAGTAGCGGTAGTAGTAGTAGTAGTATCAGTGGACGCAGCAGCAGCAGCAGGAGTAGTAGTAGTAGTAGTAGTAGTAGTAGTAGTAGTACGTAATGATAATTAGTAGCAGCAGTAACAGCAGCCGTCGTCGTCGTCATCGCAGTGGTAGTGGTCGTGGTAGTGGCGGTGCCGATGGTGGTAGTGGTGATGGGACTAGGTACCAATACTCGGAGAAGGAAAAGAAAGAGATCGGCCAGCAGCCGCAGCAGCACCGGTCGTAGAAGAACGGATGATAGCAATGTTCTTGATAGTTGCTATCCGTTTTGCACTGACACCAGCAATCATCCCTGTGACTAGTATATGGACGTGCGTCGGAGCCAAATCAACTTCCATACCAAAGACATGACGTCACAGAAACCTGCTAACAGCTTTGCAACCACGCTGCGCTATCCGTTTCGGATCAAGCTCGGTACTTCATCTGCTGGGGACTGAATGGAGGCGCATAGAAGCGCTTCATGCTTGCTGCAAAGAAGATCTCTAGGAGCCCGCCGATATTAGAATCCACGTGGTTTACAGCAGCTTCATCTACTGTGCCCAATGCGATCAATGTAAAGTCTAGATCTTGCAGCTGGCAATTCGTGACACGCGAAGCATGCATCAGTCCTCCTTCGAACGTGCCCTACGTAATTCCAGAGCCTTTGCTACCAAACCTCAAGTACAAGCCACCCATACTTAGAGACCGACAAAGAGGTCAGATCGAGATACCGAATAAAACTTGAATCCTAAAATGCTTGCCCGCGGCTGCCCTGAAGCCGAGAAGCTCTGTATCCAGATTCCAGTTGAAGACCTGCGCCAACAGTAGTCTCAGGAAAGTAATGTCAGCGAGCACATTTTTGTGAGGTTTCCGGTCTAGGGGTAGTGGTAGTGACGGCGTTGGCAGCAGCCAGCTGCATCATTCAATCGTGACAGTAGCAGCGGCAACAGCATAGTGGTCGAATGCTGGCGAAATGTCGACAATCGGATCACCCAACAAAGCTGGGGTGACAAAAAAGTCTTACATGTCCCATTTGGACTGCTTCTGCATCTTTGCATCATCCGGATATGCAGTGCATGCTGGCACCGGGTCCCAACATTCAGTAATAAAAACAGTAATAATCACAATCATGGCTATTATGGTAATGGCAGTAGTAATAGTAATCATAATAACAATATCAAGATGTTTGGCACGTGCTGTAGGATCGCCTCATGCCAGTCCTGGAAAGCACGAGGACCCACAAAGAAAGTGCGATGATATCTCAGAGTCAATATGGGATGCGGCCAGAAGGCTTGGGGTTTAGACTCTCGCGTTTAGGGTTGTTTAGGAGCTAGCAAGCAACTATGAACACGAGGCAAGTCAGAGTGTCAGCTCTACTTGAAGACCTGAAGCCTCACAGCCCTAAAAGCCTTTGCTGCGGACCCGGCCTCCGTAATGTGCTTCTCAGTGGGTGTCGCGGGGGGTGAATCCCTCACCGTTGCCTGGCGGGGCAGCATACCAGATCTTCAGAACCACAAATGCCATATGTTTTAACAACATATAGATGGGAAGCCATGAGGATCCGTATTTATATTTAGGATCCAATAACTGCCAATCACTACTCAGCGTCCATCACTGGACTCTCGCAACTCGGACACTGCAGACGCGGTTGCTTCGGTCGGAAGGGCCCGTTGTTTCTTAGAAGCAGTCAGTGCAACAACAATAAGTGGCAACAGCGGCCAGAGGAGACTTCCGTTGGCGTCCACATACTCTTCGACCGAGCACACCCAAATAGACATCTAAAGGCCTCCGAATTGAATTCCGAAACCATAAATACACCATATAATGTAGGGGCCTTCATAATTAGAGTAGGGTTTTGGGGCCCATTCTACTATAAATATAATAAGGAACCATCAAAATAATATTGGTAATTATTTAGGCCCCTATATAAGGCTCCCGTATCCGAAAAGGGCTCAAAACGGACCCTGGAAGCGTACTAAGCAGCTCTGTTGATGGGCTCTAGAACGGAGTTTGGCATGCATCGCGCATAACTTTCATGAAGACAGCCCAAGACTCCAAAACCGTAAGCTAAGTCTCAAAACACAATTCCTACCTGAACCTCCCAAAACCAAGCGTGGTGTTGCAAGAACCCAATCTAAACTTCTAAAGAACCCCTTGCAGAACCATTGATTGGACCCCTATACCTTACACGCGAGCCTTTTAAACCCTGACCCCATATACCAGTAGGACTTCTACACCCTCATCGGACCCCTAAACCCTGCACCGCCATATAGATCCCCTCACAAGGGGTTCCTTTAAGTGTTCTGTTCCGCTTCCGACCCGGAGACTCCAATATCCCTTAATTAAGGAATATACCTTAAATCCGATTAAGGATCCTACCATGATTTAAGGAATATTCCTAAATTAAGGGATATTGGAGTCTCTGAAAAAATCCCTGGATTCCCAAAAGCCGAGTCTGAGTGGCTGGGAGGTTGTGGCTGCCGGGCGCCATCTCTGAGAGGGCAGCCTCGCGGCTCTCAAGTGATGTACTTGGAGGATCATGGGACTTAGTAAGTATGGTTATAAGTCCCCTAATTGGGGTTAT